GTCAAAAAGTTATATGCTAATTTGGATATAAATTTACTTAATTTTAAAATATATCAAAAGATATATAAACCAGGGTGAAGAAAAGAGCTTGAAAGCAAAGATCAAACAAAATTGGCTGAAGCTGGATACACAGAAGTTCACACTTTACTTATTTTATATATGGCAATTAATAATTTCCACAGTAAACTGATTAAAATCAGTAAAACACCATTTTCAGGATGCCTGGGTGGCGGTTGGTTAAGTGTCCAACTCCTTTTCTTTTTTTTTTAGAGAAAGCAAAGAGCAAGCAGGGGGAGAGGTCACGCGAGGAGAGAGAGTGAATGAAGGAAAAGAGAAGAGAATCCCAAGCAGGCTCCACAATCCCTCCGGCTTGGGAAGCCTGGGTGGATCAGTCAGTTGAGCATGGGCACTCTTGATTTCAAGTCAGGTCATGATCCCCGGGGGTCTTGGGAGCCCACTGCATCAGGCTCCTTTGAGCATGAAGCCTGCTTGGGATTCTCTCTCTCTGCCTCCCCTGCTCCTCTCTCTCAAAATAAACATTTTAATAAATAAATAAAATTAATAAAACACCATTTTCAACCACCAATGTGGTAACTGACCTGAGAGGAAAAGCATTGTGTGAGAAAGATGCTGGAAAAGAATCACAGTCTCAAAATTCACCAGCAGATTCCACCAGCTTACAAAAGGAAAAGGTACCTTCATTAAGAAGCCCAGATGGACACTACCTTAAAGTGATCAATTTAGCAACATCACCAAGGAGTCAAACTAACATTAGCATGCCCCCCTAATGTGATATAGTGGGAAATGTGTCACTGCTTATGTAATAATTCTATCAAAAATATTAAAGGATCTAACCATACAGAAAAAGATGAGACAAACTTTGAAAAATTAGCCTAGACTCTTAAAAAAAATGTCAATATAATAAAGATTAAAAAAGCAAACAAAGGTGGGAGCAAAATAACCTAAAGACAGTAAAAGGTAGATACAAGGGGCTTTTTTGTGGACAATGAGAGAAATAAGCATATGGAACTTTCTACATAACTGTATTACACAAAATAGTAATTCTTGAGCATGACTTGTAGCCCCAGTAGTGTGGTCATGTAATAGCAAAATTTGTTTAGGAACTGTCTTAGGAGATTCTTAAAGTGTCACAGCGACTGCAACTATTAAATTGTTAGTTTTAAAGGAGTATGTAGTAGCTGTATCATCTGAAAGAAAAGCTAAATATAGTATAATTTTAAATTGGAATCTTTTTCCTCTACATAAAAGCAGAATTCACTGTTCTATTCTTTGAAATTTCCTGTGTTGAGCATAAGGAAAAAAAAATGGAAAACAATCTATTTCGATAAATATGGCGTCTTCAAACCAGAAATTTGCAAGAATTTCAAACTGATAACTGTCAGACTGTTCTGAAATAGAAACTGTGTTTTTTTATGTTTTTTTAATTTTTTTTTTTTAATGTTTATTTATTTATTTTTTGAAGACAGAGAGTAAGAGATGGGGGGGAGAGGGGACAGAGGATCCAAAGCAGGCTCTGCGCTGTCAGAGAGCCCGATGTGAAATTCACGAACTGAAATCATGAGCCCTGAGCCAAGGCGAACTCAACCAACTGACCACTTGAAGCCCTAGAAACTGTGTTTTTAATTCCTTTTCTCAAAAGATTTGTTTTACTAAAATACTTTACCAGCTTTTATTAAAAATAAGATTTACAGGGCACCCTGAATACTCAGTCAGTTGGCGTCCAACTTAGGCTCAAGTTATGATTTCACAGTTTGTCCAACTCCCGTGTCCGGTCTGTGTAAACCACAAGCTCAGAGCCTGGAGCCTGCCCTCAGATTCTGGGTCTCCCTCCTCTCTGCCCTACCCTGCTAAGCTGTCCCTCTCCGTCTCTCTCAAAACAGATACTGGAAAAAAAAGGATTTACAGAGAAACTAAAACTTGATTAAACCAAAAGATTATACTATAATTATAAAAAAAAAATAAATTCATTTCACAAACACAAATATCTTATCCTATGGCAAAATTTTTACCGTCTCACAGAATTGGACAGCGGATATCTGGTTGGTTGAAGTCACCAAAGTTCTTATAGGTGATAGTTTTCCAGAGCGAATCCAGCACTCGCGGACCATCTGACCTCGAGGGGGAACTATCCAGAAGAAAACTTGAATGATTGCTAACCACAAATTATAATTTGATTTAGGTTAATTCCTTCTCTCCTTCAGCATCTCCAGATGAAGGTACAAGTAGCTGAGACTGAGAAACATTCAATGGTTTGTTTTCCCTGATACTAGCCTAAGACAGAGAGCACAGTTTGGAAAAGACAATCTCAGCCTGTCCAGGTGTCAGATAATGCATCTAAAATTTTTTTTGCTTGGAGGCAAAAACTCGATTCTCATCTTCCAGAACCTATAATCAACTGTATACTCTTCCATGGATATTCCACAACAGCTTAAAAATACATCGTATTCATATAAACTAGCATTCCTTTTAAATCTGTTTCACCTCCTGGGTTCTCCATCTCAAGAGAGAATACCACTATTGACCAATAGACAGAAACCTGGGCATCACCCTTCCATTTTCTCCCAACCCACAGCTCTGATTCTACCTCCTTAGCAGTGTTCATGCTGCTCTGCTGTCGATCTCTCACGGGTTAGTGGTAACCTACCCTAATGTAACTACGGTCTTATCCTCCATTTGATTAGCCAAAACATCAACAGAGTTATCTTTCCAAATGCTCACCTTTGAGTTATTATTCCCGGCTTTAAATCAACTGATAGCACAAATAATAAATGAGGGGCACCTGATTGGCTCAGTCAGTTGGCGTCCAACTTTGGCTCAATTAGAGTGATCTCACAGTTGGCAGTTTGAGCCTCATCGAAACTTACTGCTGTCAGCCTGTCAGCACAGAGCTTACTTTGGATCCTCTGTCCTCCCCAAAAGCTCCTCTCTTTCTTAAAAATAAAAGCATTAAAAAATAAACAAATATAACAAAAATAAAAATAAATCCTTAGTAGGTACCTCCCCACCACTAACTACCTCTACCTCTAATCACAATGAGCTTCAGTTTTTTTTGAGATGAACCATGTTCTTTGCTGCATTGGGCCTTTGTGCCTCTTGTCCACATCAGAAACTCCTTCCTCATACCTAGCTAACTCTAATAACCATCCTCAGGTCTCAGCACAGAGAACTACTCTAGGAAGATTTCTCTGCTCTAACACACTCCTTTTCTTTCCTTGGTTTAGAGACCTCTCTCCTCAACCTGTCTTGGCATTTACAGCAAATATTTCGGGCAATTTTTTGTTAGTTACACATATTCACTAAACTTCGATTTTGCATAAAGGAGACAAAGCATCTAATTTTTCACCACCACTGCAGTCCCAGGTCCCAGTAGACCCTAAGCACGCATATTGATTGTAGAGACTCGAAACATTGTTGAATAAATCAAACCCTTGTCAAAAAAACATGGTAATGTTACAGCAGGTAATGAGATGCAATCTATTTTCCAAGGTTCTTCTGTTTAACATAGCATACTCTCTAAGATTTAATGCTCCAGACAAGTGCTATGTTGTATTATTCTCCAAATTTAATAACAGACATATATCACATTAGACATCAAGCCAAATGACTCCAAAACATAAAGGTGGGAGGGCAGAGTCTTTCCCAAGCAAGCTACTGAGGGGGGGGGGGGGGGGGGGGGGGAAACTTGGCTGACCACAAAATGATGCGTTTCCTTTAGTCTTTTAATATAATGAATTAAAGGTACACTGATGTTTCTTTTTTTTTTTTAGATTTTACTTTAAGTAATGTCTACGCAACATGGGACTGAAACTTACAACTCTCTAGAGATCAGAGCTCCACTGACAAGAGCCAGCCAGGCACCCCTGATACTAATTTTCTAACAGAGTATCTGAACTCCTACAAATCTTACTTGCCAGCTATGATGCATTTAAAACACATACTTCAATTTACTACAATCTTAGGTTTTGGCATTTATAACTATATAGTTTTTTTTTGTCCTTCCAAGTTTGGTATTTGTTATATAGGCTCATAGAGTGATACAAATGTTTCTTTTTTTTCCTAATCTCTGGAGAATTTAAGGTCCTGAAATTCTGGACCTTAAATCTTTGGGAAGATCTTTGACAACTGCTCCAATTTCTTTTAACGGATGGTCTATTCAAGTGTCTTAATTTCTTCTTGGGTCAATTTGGCGCTGTTTTCAAAAATATTCCTGTTTCACCTAAGTTTTCAAATTCATGCACATACATACAATTTTAACTGTTGGATTCGTCCATTTGTCAATGTAAAAATTAGGTTTTAATTTTCTTAATGAACTACCTACAGCAAAATATCAGCACACCCTAACGGTAGTCGATATTCCAGGCTGAGGGGCTGTCTCATCCTTTCTTCCTTACCCCACAGAAGAATTCAACCACTCCTGAACTTTTAACCTCATAAAAACAGAGACAAGGCACTTGGGCAATACAAATGAATTACAGTTCCAAACCCTTACATTAAGTAAAATTCCCCTAAGTTTGTACATAAAATGTACTTAAGCAAAAAGGTACAGAAAGCTCGAGAACAAAATACCTGTAATAAGAAAGTTGCCATGTTCCTCCAAAGTTCACTGTATTTTCGGACCACACTGAAAAGGTCTAACTCATAGAAATGGCGTCTGCTGGTATTAGCTGCTACTTCCCCTGTGGGATCATTGTCTGCTTCTGATAGAAGTACATGAGCACAAACATGGCATCAGTTACTCCATCTACAAATGGGAAGCAGAGGTCCACAACAGTTCCAACGTTCACACTACTGGGTTAATGGCAGAGCTTATTTGGGAACCTGGGTCTCCTGTGTAAAGTTCTCCATCCTGCCTTCAAGGCAAAAGAATGCC